AAAATCAAGAGTTGGATGCTTAACAGACTGAACTACCCAGGTGCTCCACAAAAGCATGATTTTAAATACTTCAATGTTGTGGCATCTATAAACTTCTGAGAATTGCCCCCTTTCTTGCTCCATTCATGCTAACATCAAGACTAAAGTTAGGATGTTCTGTCATGCTGAAAGGTACAGGGATGTGGCTGTTCTGTAATAGAAGAAGGCTATAATTGGTAACAGCTGCAGCTGGCTGTGCTGCTCTGAATCTGGCAGAGTGAGGTGTGGGAAGCGCACAGGTCTATGCAGCTGGAGACCTGCAGTCTGGCTGTGGTCATGGGATCTCAGATGGGTGACTACACCAGTAAAGAGGAAGACTGAAAGGTGGTCTTACCTGTCTCTTCCAGTGATCTTGATATGAATGCTAATATGATAAGAAAGATAAGAAACTTAAAGATACGGCTCTTAGGGGCGCCTGAGTGGCTCAGTCAGTTAAGCATCTGACTTTTGGTTTCGGCTCAGGTCATGATCTCATGGTTCGTGGGTTCAAGCCCCACATTGGGCTCTGTATTGATGGTGTGGAGCCTGCCTGAGGTTCTCTCTCTCTCCCTCTCTCTCTCTGCCCCTCCCCTGCTCATACTCGCTTGCTTGCTCTCTCTCTCTCTCAATAAATAAATAAATAAACTTAACAAAAAATTTTTTTTTCTAAATAAAAAAAGATGCGGCTACTAATTTTCAGTCAGGATTGGAACTCTAGGGGTACCAAATGCAGTCCTCTTGCTTTCTTCAATAAAGATGAGGCAGAAAAGAGAGGAAAGGTTCATTACAAGCCTTTTACGATTCATGCTTTGGAAGATGATTTAAAATGACTGTTTTAAAACAAACAAAAAGCAGAAAGAGACTCCTAAATAAAGAGAATTAACCGATAGTTGCCAGAGGGAATGGGGTGAGGGGGCAGGGCAAGATGAGCGTGGAGAGGAAGGTACAGGCTTCCAGTTACGGAATGAGTAGGTCATGGGGCTAAAAGGTACAGCATAGGGAATACAGTCAGTGGTACTGTAATAGTGTTGTATGGTGACAGATGGCAGCTATATTTGTGGGGAGTGTATCATAATGTGTAGAGAAGTTGAATCACTATGTTGTATACCTGAAACTAAAGTAACTTTATGTGTCAACTATATTTCAATAAAAAAATAAATTAAAAAAAATGATGGTTTTAGTTTCATTATAATAGCAGCTTTCCTAAATGACTAGATTCTCAATGGTTTCTCCTTTTGTGTGTGTGTGGGGGGGGACTTTTATGTCATGGCTTCTAAAAAGGTTACTTTAGTGAATAAATACAGGAATAATCCTTAAAGTAATTAAAAGTTATGATACAATAAGCGAGTAAATCTATCTACTTTTCTATGGATTGGCTCTCAATTGTAAGAAAAGAGCCAAGATCTAGAAGAATAATCTGTAAAATATATATATATATATAATTTAAAATATTATTGCCTTCTAGAATCCCCTTCTCCCCCTTTCCCAGCCTCAGCACATAAGATCAAAGATAAGCTGACTATGGGTTTGCACATCTAAAAATTAAGAATTATTATGGCCCAGAAATGAAGGTGAACATTGAAAAGCATAGGTAAGAGAGAATGAGGTAAGATCTCTGGTTCAAGTAAGCCCACCTGATGACAAAAGGAAGGACGAAAGTGATGCAGTGATGGCGTTTCATTTATTATGGGATCTTGTTTTCTAGAGAAGAATAAAAATAAACAACCTTGAGGAAAAATTTGTTTCTAAAAATTAAGAGAGGACTATAGCAAAGAAGGAAAGAAGAAAGATCTCTGGATTCAATCACTAGTGGCTTGGACACCACAACATGTAGCTGAAGACCTGATGTTCCTAGGAAATGTGTCATGTTAAAAGTGCCCGGAGAAGTATCTTTTGTAAGGGAAAAATGCAATATACTGATATGTGAATATACATGTGAATGATACATGTGAATATACATGTATACATGAATATACATTCATATACATGTGAATGATAAAAGAGGAGGCCAGAATATAGCTCCTCTGGTCCTCTTTAATCACCTTGAAATACAAGGCCAGCTCACATTAGTGATGCCTATTATCAATGGTTAGCATTTCTAAAGACTATCTTTGAGATTTAAGGACACTTCTTTTTATTGGGAATGATCTTTGTTTGTGAAACAGTTATATATAAACCATCAATAATAAAATGCATTATTTTATTAAGCAAAAGTTTGGAGAAAAATCTAACTGCACATTGAATTATCACTAGAACATCTTCTGTAGATATGAGACAATATCTCACATTTTTCCTTTCCCACAGCTTTCTACATATGGATATTTTATGGACTTAAAAATGGCCTGTTATTTCTGGAGGGAGTTTAACTTAAGAAACATCATAGTTTGGATTGCACACTTCACTCTGGTGACCCACAACCGGCTGCTTACAACTTTTTTTCACTATGAACATACATATAGAACTTTCAGAATCAGTTTCTCAAAGGCAGTACAAGATTCGTGTGATATATGTTTAGTTGAATTCAAAATTAACTCTGGATGGTCCTGAACCCATAAATTAAAAGAAACATCTGTTAATCTCTTTTTAATTTATATTATTTTCTCAAAGAAGCTGGCAAGGACATACTGACCTTGCAAAGAGATTTTTCTGATGCTCTTAAATATTTAATTAAGACCACTGAAAAAATGAAATAGTAAGTGATATTGGTTCTTCCTTGACCAAATACGCTACAGGGATTTTTTTCCTTAGTATATTTCAAGCCTCTATCATCATCAGTAAGATTCAACTGGTGAGAGCCCAAGAGACAAAGCAAGACTTTCAAGAGTTTTCATTCACCATTAATTTAAGCAGGACTTTCTTCTTTTGCATTCATTCACTCACTCATTCAACATACATTTGGTGAGTCCTTGAAGTGTAATGTCAGGTGTTGCAAGATATGACGATGAGAAAAATGTTGGTCTATCACATGATCTCTTGCTTTCCCCACAACAATTTTGCTCCTCATGTCCTCGTCTCTTCATGCTTCAGTTTCTTCAAAATGTTCCTAGTTAGTGCTCCTGACACTCAGGTCCTGCCCTGTTCAAGTTGTATTATACTCAACTTTAGAAAAATATTCCTTGATCAAGAGTGCCCTATCGTCCATATTGACACCACTACCACCACCACCAATAATACTAATGGTAATTAATAGATACTATTTCTTGATTCATTGACTTCGTACACTTTACTATCTCATTTAATCCTCATTGTGGCCACGAAAGGCAAAAATAACATTTTTACTTCTCTTGTATCCACAATTCCTTATTAATGGGGCATATGTGTCTGTTGAGCACTGTGCAGCTGCTCAAATACTTAAATTAGATTGGACACTGCCACTCTCTTCTCCTGTTCCACATGACTTTCTGCAGGGTACTTGCTTCTTATTACAGCCAAAAACCTGACTTCACAAAGATAAATCTTGAAAAGGATTTTATATTTATATTTTGTACTGTAATCGAATGTTGAAACTGTGGACTATCTTGAGGTCATGTAGTGCTTAACAGATGTTGAGTATCTCTGTGTTTCCTTTGAGCATTTAAAATATTCTGCCACACCCCTGAGTTTGCTGCGACTTATCAAGATGCTTCTGTAGGCAATTTGGGAACTTTGGTCCCAAGTAATAATGATCTCTCTTCAACTCTGCCTTTCTATACTGCTCATTTGGCACACAATACATTGTGTTTTGCATTTGAATTGTGTGCACAGGCCTCATGTCTGCTACTGCATCCTCTGCTCTGTGAAGTTCAGAGACCACTCCTTGCAAGTGCCCTGGCACAGAAGCTAATATACCTTGCATATAGAAAATGCTCAACAGTAGTTTATCAAATGAGTGGATTAAAAAAATTACAGCATGTCCTTATGTAATTTCTCTTCAGTTATTTGAGAAGCCTTTAATATTACCCCCATTAATTTTAAGTATATTTTTTGAACAAAGCGTACAGTTGATAAGTGCTGCTGACTGACAGAGTGCAGAAAATCGGTCTTTGAATAAGCAAGGGATGACTCTGAAGGAGGCATTACCTTTCTTATTACTTATAGTTTACCTACTCTTTTTGGAGTAGCATGTCAGCAAGTTATTGTGTACAAACACATTAAATTCTTATGGCAGAAAAATCAGAAAGTAATGGTGAAGAATATAGTGAAAGCAAGTGTTTCTCTATGCTGTTAATGCTTTATAATGACTACGCCATCAAGGAAGCTATTATCAATGAGAGTAAGGAGGACTATTGGTAGAAATTGCACTTTGAAAGGAAGTACTTAGGAGTAAGCCAAATTAAGTTCTCCTTCAAGCATCTGTAATATTAGTTCTTAAAAAGCTCTCTGAGGAAGTACGAAGTGGTTCCCATGTATGTGTTTCCTTCCCTTCCCTCCCCTCCCTTCCCTATTCTCTCTCTCTCTTTTTATTTTAAGATTTTTTTTAAGTAATATCTATACTCAACTTGGGCCTTGAACTCACAACCCCAAGATCAAGAATCGCACGTTCCACCAACTGAGCAAGCCAGGCGCCCCAATCTCTCTGTCTCTTTTTTTTAAAAGGCTGGGAGATAGGCTCTATATGGCTTTCTGACCTAAAATGTACATATACTTCTAATTAGTCAATCAGATTTAGGTCCAATAACATTCAAAGCATTTGTGAAGTTTTCTTTCAATGAGTTAAAAAGGCTGAGAGTTAACCAGCAAAAGCACACACACACTGAGCCATCTGTCCATTAAAGTGGTAAAACTAAATAGGGAGATGAGATTAAGAATACAACTAATTTGGGGGAATGTTAGGCTCCTCCTCAAGATTTTTCTTTTTTCTTGGTGTCTATTTTCCCTGACGGACTGGAATTTTAGACCTTGTGCTGGTGAAAGAAGGTCATCATGGTAAATTAATTCAGTTTCAGACTAAACAGACTTCAAAGCACAAAGCCAGCACTGGTGACAGAGGAGCCCTTGGTTACCTGCTGTTTCTCTGTCAGCTGAGGTCAGCTCTCCATTGATGCCATTCTCTTTGGTATCTGAATAGGTGCTCTGTGACCCATGTTCTCCAAAGGCGCCCTCTTCATCCTCCCTGTATGGGAATCCATTGGCGCTTCTGACAAGTCCTTCCCCTGCCCCGCCTTGGTCCTTAATCTCAGGTGGATGTGGATGTGCAGATGCTTCTGTTAGTTGAGCTGAGGTCCAGTGAGGCGCCTTTGCTTCATCTTTCCGATCATCTGCCATTCTTCTACACCTTGTGACCTCTTCTGGGATTGGAATAAAAACAATAGCGGCCATCACTGTGGGGAACTATGATCTAATATTACTAAGATAGGGCACACTTATAGCAAACTCAATAGTTAGCTATGGTCAAAAAAACATGCTCAATATTCGACTGTTAATATCAAGAAAACAGCTGTTGTTAATACCTTCGTTTTTACAGATCTCTTCTGGCATATCAATTCTTTTAATACAGGATCACCATTAATTTACATATATATTTTTTACACTAGTATTTGGCATTTAAGGAGATATCTAACTTTCATTGATACATGATATTGACTATACAGTAGAGTCAAGGAATCCTTCAGGATAGGGAAAATTTGTAGTATGAGAAAATTGGGTAGAAGTATGTGAGAAAACAAATGGCTGAGGGGGAAATGATGAATTGGGGGAAACTACTCCAAGTACTCTTTTAAAAGCAATTCTCAGGGATGCCTGGGTGCCTCAGTTGGTTAAGCGTCCAACTTCAGCTCAGGTCATGATCTCACAGTTTGTGAGCTGGAGCCCTAAGTCGGCCTCTGCACTGACAGCTCAGAGCCTGGAGCCTGTTTCAGATTTTGTGTCACCCTCTCTCTCTGCCCTTCCCCCCACTCATGTTCTGTCTCTCTCTCTCTCTCTCTCTCAAATAAATATTTTAAAAAATTTAAAAAAAATATTTAAAAACACAATTCTCCCTGAACCCTAGAAAAGACAATGGCTAACACATTAGTCTTTAAAAAAATTTTTTTTAATGTTTATTTATTTTTGAGAGAGAGAGACAGAGAGAGAGAGAGAGAGAGAGAGAGAGAGAGAGAGAGAGCACAAGTTGGGGAGGGGCAGAGAGAGAGGGAGACACAGAATGTGAAGCCGGCTCCAGGCTCTGAGCTATCAGCATAGAGCCTGATGCAGGGCTTGAACCCATGACAGTGAGATCATGACTTGAGCTGAAGTCAGATGCTTAACCAACTGAGCCACGCAGGTGCCCCCACATTAGCTTTTTCCATTTCAAAGGTGTTCAATTCAAACCAGAGATGGATATGTTTTCTTGGATACTGTATATTAAAAGAGAGTTTTGACTTAGTTTCTCAGCAAATTTTCCTAAACCATATCTATGGATTAAGAGTATATATAGATATACTAAGATTTTGTCTTAGTATATCTTACATAGAGAAAAGATTAAAAAAAATACAGTATTAGACCTACATCCTACCTTATAATGTTATTTCACAACTAAGTCAAATCAGATCTGGAAAAGTTAAATTACTGACATGTATCAGTAACTGTGAATTGTAGTAAAGTTTGAAAAAGTCATGGCGTAGGTGTTTTGTACACATTAAGTCAGTGACAGACATTGCATGGCCTTCACTTACACAATGATGTCACTAGGTTTAGACATGTAGTTGATAAGAGATGATTCATTACTCACTTCTAGAAAGCTGTTGCCAGCAATGTAGTCTTATTCATGGCCTACTGTTCCCAGACTGAGGATAGAGACATAGGCCATGACTGTCTCTGATGGAAACTAAGAACACTTTCCCATTTTCTTTTTCTTTCCTTTTTTGTTTACTTTCCTGTTTTCAAAACAGTAACTCAAGTAAAAACATCCAAACAAGCAAACAAAATTGTATTAAAACAAATCTTCCTGTTACTAAGCTCTGTTTAGAGACATCACAAGTAAACTAAGTTGTAAAGAAAGTAAGCTTTCCCACCAAATTCCTAACAAGCATTTGTCTTTTTTTTCCCCTCAAATTTCAATGTGTTCTTCAGGTTCTCATTCTAGTTTTCTATTCATAGCTGGAAGAGCTAGATGAGTTAACTCATTTAAACTAATTTGACTACAATACCAAACCTACCCCCAAACTGCTTCCCATAAGGGTTCTATTTATTGTCCTTAAGAACATATTTAAAAAGTGATATGAATTTAGCTTTCAAAGCATTGATTGAAGGGCTTGTGAATAAACCAAGGAGCATCCCTATATCACAGACAATGTGTAAAGAACTTTATCCCCAGAAGTGTCTCTTCATCTGTAAAGCAAGGACAATGATGCCTAGTTTATTATTGTAAAGTTTGAACAGAAAAATATACAGGGCAGGGCGCCTTGGGTGGCTCAGTCGGTTGGGCATCCAACTTCAGCTCAGGTCATGATCTCGCTGTCCGTGAGTTCGGGCCCCACGTCAGGCTCTGTGCTGACAGCTCAGAGCCTGGAGCCTGTTTCAGATTCTGTGTCTCCCTCTCTCTCTGCCCCTCCCCTGCTCACGCTCTGTCTCTCTGTCTCTGAAAAATGAATAAACCTTGAAAAAAATTAAAAGAAAAAAAAGAAAAATATACAGGGCTCAGCACAGTCCCCGTCATGTCCAATAATTAACAGTTACAATCTCTGTTATTGTTGTTAGAATTATACTACTAGCCATTATACCACAAGTCATTATATATAAAATATTTTAAGTAGTTTTCTGGAATTATTGCCACAGGAACAAGAACCTGAAAACTTGGTACAATAACAAGAGTTACCTGCAAATCTGTCTCCGGATATTATATGGGACTGAAAGAATGTACCAAGGCAGACATGGGAAATGTCTGAGACATGGAAGCCTGATAGAAGGGGTGCACCGTCAGAATTAAGCACTCCAGGTACACATCTGAAATCTTCCCTACATCTTTTATAAAGATGATTCTGCACTGTTCTAGACTCCATTATGTCATTGTCTTCAAGTCAAAAATCAAAGGACCTCATTTAGGTATATACAGATTATATTTTTTCTCAGTTGTTGCAGCATCTTCTATGTCCAATGGGCTGAAGAAATTATGTGGATTCAAACTGTCACCTTTGAATTTGAGACCCTTGGCTCAGCATCCTTTCTTTATATGCCTTGATTTCTTTACTTTTCTTTACTAAAATAGTTTAATTTAAATTTCCATATTCCTACATTATCCAATCTAGTTTGCATGCTGAGTAAATACTCGTAAGTAGCAAGTTTCCCCCAAAACAAGTACATGCCTTGTTAATGCCACTTTAAAAAAATTAATAGGCTTTATAATTTTAGAACAGTTTTAGATTTATAGAAATATTAACCAGATTGTACAAGAAGTTCCCATGCACCCCTGTACACAATTTTCTATCACTAACATCTTACCTTAGTATGGTATATTTGTTATAATTAATTATAAAATATTAATATATTATTATTAACTAAAGTCCATAGTTCATTTAGATTATCTTAGTTTTAGCTAATGTCCTTTTGTTGTTGTTGTTCTAAAATTCCATCCAGGATACATTACATTTCATTGCCATGTCTCTTCAGGTTCCTTTTGGCTGTAAGAATTTCTCAGACTTTCCTTGCTTTTGATGACTTTGAAAAATACTGGTCAGGTATAGATAATTCCTCTATTGAAATTTGTCTGATTTATTTCATGATTAGTCTTGGATTATGTGTTTTGGGGAAGAAGACAGTCAGTGGTAAAGTGCTCAAATAAGCTTGAGAAATGCTGAGCTACAGAGGCATGTATATAACTTGAGGTTTTTAAGAGTCTTTGATAAGCTACTGGACTTTTGAATCTTAGGGATGGGCAGTGATGTCCAAAGCATTCCAACCAGTTCAGCATAGAAAACTTTTTTTGATGCCATGTTTATTAACATGTCCAAAAGGATTTGGGAAATTCTTAGGTTTGCATTTTAGCCCTTGTTTAACACCAAGAGTCCTAGCCACAGATAGTCCAAGTAAATAAAACAATATAAGAACCCAAACTCCTAGCTAAAACTGGCAGTTTTTTCCCAAAGGCTCTCTGAGGAAGATTTGTCAGTGACCAAAAATCTTCACCTTGAACCTAAAAAACCAATGCCTTATTGGGGACAGTATCAATTAATTATCTTAAAATTAATTACCTTAAAATGTTAAGATACTTTGTTTTAAAGAAACCAGGCATTTACAAAGTAAACAAACTCCTTAATGTTCAAAGCTTTTAGAGCTTTGGATTCTTTTTTTTTTTTTTTTTTTTTTCAGTTAATCAATAAAAGCTAATTTTGGAAAAAGAAAGAGCTGTCTGGTCATGCTGCTCCAATTAATATCAGAGGCATAAATACAGGGAATTAGTTACCTAAAATTCATTATTTGACTTCCTGATAAGACTATTCAGATAATACACTTTAAAACACTTGCAGACGAATCAGATGCCACTTTCTAATTTGTTGGGTTTTTGAAATGTACATAGTCTAACCATCTATTAAGTGAAAATTACTTGAGGAGATTTCAAGCTACAATCATCATTGCTCTGACAAAACTACTTTGACAGAAAATATGATTTGGAAAGATTTTCTTCTGTGGTACTGAAAAGTTGCTGGAATCAAAGGACACACTATTTGGCCATACTAACTTATAATCACAACATGGTATTATGAAAATCCCACACATTCATGGTAAACTTCACTTAAATTCCTAATCAGTGTTTTAGGGTCGTAGATTATTTCCACTCCTCAAAATGGTTTTACAATATAGTTAAAAGTGACCACAGCTGCCTTTCATTTCTTCTTCCTGATATATAGTCTTCCTTTACCTGAATCTCTCTGAAAACCATGAATGTAGTATTAAAAAAGATAAGAAAGCTGAGATAAACTCCAATCCCCTCCAAAATATAGAAGGAAACTTGTGAGGTACTAGAAATTGTAACATCCATTCCTACTGTGTAATGAGAAAGACTCTATTTTCCATATCGCAAAAAATCACAGATCCTAACTGCTCTGAACAACTGAGCAGCTGGGGATCTGCCACACAATCATCTTACTTGAGAATTAAACTGAAAAGCTACCTGAATTCTTCCCCTCATCCCTCTCTTCCAAAAGCCTAGCTTGATAATGTGGGCAAGGAAATTATTAAGTTAAAAAGAACTGTACTAAGTCCGAGACATTGACTTCCAATGTACAACAAATTTGCAATGGGAATCTTACCTGCTAGGGCTAAACACAAGTGCCAATATCAGTGAGGAT